CCGCTCTACATAGTGCATAAGCTAAGTATAGAGGAATTAGTAATGTTATTCATACTATGTTTTTAGATCACATTTTTATACCATCTTAGGTGGTATCTGATGTGGACAGCCACATCATTTGAAAAATTTGCAAAACCCAAGGAAAGGAAGGAGAAAGACTCCTTGTATATCACAATCATCATTTAATTAATTAGTTTTTCTTAATTATTAGTTTATTAAATAATGAACTAAATTTACAAATCTAATTAATTCAAATGATGTGGCTATCCACATCAAATGCCACCTAAAATGGTATAAAAATATGGTACAAAAACATGGTATGTTAACTTCTTCGGTTTAGAGGCTGCTTTGGTTACAGAATTTAGATTTGCTTCTAAGTTTGTGATGAATCTATAATTTGATAAAAGATCTACAACTGACATTTTGAGTAAAGCAATTTACAACTTATTTGGCAAGTCGAGCATTAGCAACACACATGCACCAATTTGAGGGACATTGTTAGCATAAGCTAACTTGTAGGATGTTGATTCATTGTTATTATTGTTAGAGATATATGATTCCTATTTTAATTTTATTTCCTATTATAATTAGAAGTAGAAGATGGAACACAAACACATTTTGCTAAGCAAACCCTAATATCTCTCTAGGCTGGTTTGAAACTACTTCTTTAAAAAGACTTTTTGCTCTAAACCACTTTCAGTAAAAACATTATTAGAAGCACATTAATTTTTTTTAATAATACGCAAGTACTCTCTGAAAATGCACTTGAACTGTTTTCTGAAAGAAGCGTCCTAAAATAGGCACACAACAGGTGCTTCTTCTAGGAAGTACTTCGCATGTTTTTTTTTAATCTAGAAAGACTTCAAACCTTTTCTGCCAAACATGGTCAATATTGTACACTATGGCCTCGTTTGGCAGCTCGGACTGTACTGACTATTTCTGTTGGATAGGATAAATAGTCACCGGATAGTACTGACTAAATTAGTCGGGCGTTTGGTGCAGTATCGGACTAATGATCGTCTTATTTATACTGTGTTTGGTATTATACCGAATAGGAGGAATTAAACTTACAAAAAAAATTCAAAAAACAAAAAAAAAAAAACTGAAATACTGTGTTTGGTATTATATCTTTTGTTCCCAATCTCTCCGCCGCACCCCCCTTCCCTCCCTCTCTATCCCTTCTTCTTCTTTCCCGTTTGCTCCCCTAAACTAAACCTCACCACAAAGGCAGCAACACGAAACCCAGCAAAACCCACCTTTCAGCCCAGCAAAAGTAGAAAGGTTATGAAGGATATGACCCAAAGGAGGGAGATGTGTTCTTTAGCAATTAAAAATTTATAAAATTAATTGCAAAAATTTGAGAGAAAAACAACAATTAGATTCAATCTGATTGAAAAAAAAAAAGTTGGAAGAAAAATAGGAGGGCAAAACAGTGAGAGAAGAAGAAAAATTGCAAGAAAAATAGGAGGAGGGCATAACAAGGAGGAGGAAGAAGAATCTCAGATTTAGAAGTGGAGGAAGAACCTTGGATTCAGAAGAGAGAGCAAGTGATGTGAGAGGAGTAGAGCGAGCGGGTTTGCGGTGATCAGAGAATGAGGAGGAGGAGAAGTTGCAGGAGGGTTGAGCAGAGGATGAGGAGGAGGTGGAGAAGTTGCAAGAGGGCGGAACAGAGAAGGAGGAGGAGGAGAAGAACCTGGGATTCAGATTAGAGAGCAAGCAATGCGGGATGGAGAGAGCGAGAGAGGTGTGGTCTACCCGACTAAATAATACCGAGGTTTTGGGCGGGATAACTAAGCGGGTATCAGCTGGATAAAGAAGGTGGGGTCGGATTATTTAATCCGGTGGTTATTTAATCCAAAGAGATACCAAACACTGTACTTCGTATTATTAGTACAATCCGGTGCCTTTTCCGGTGTGCCAAACAGAGCCTATATATTTGTTTCTAGGATTGTAAGTTGCTTGAAATAATTCGAGCTTGCACTGAGTTCGGCTCGTTGAAGCTCGGCTTGTGCAAGAACCAAGCAAAGCCTAATTAATTCGACTCGATTAAAAAACAAACCAAGCTTGAGCAGTCATCTTCGGCTTGTAAAGCTTGTGATTAGGTCAAAACATTTTACGAGACACTCAAGGTAGGCTTGAGCTCGGCTAGGTAATTCAAGCTTCACAAGTGTTAATATATAGGGTAAATCTCAATTTACTACCTTCAAGTTTCGTGATTTTCAACATTTGGTACATAAAGTTTTTTTCGTCCCAGAGTCATACCTAAAGTGTTAATTTTGGAACAGTCTTAAACATCCGTTAGTCAAACTGTTAAGTTTTCCGTTAACTGATGATGTGGTGCTTATGTGGATAATGACTGGGTGCCACATCTCATTAAGGGGTCCACGTGGAAATTTTTTAATTTTTAGAAGGGGTTAAAAAAATTCAAAATTCCAAATTCAAAATAAAAAATAAATAAATAAATAAAAAATAAAAAATAAAAACAGCCCTTCTTCTACCTCCCTCAACCCCTCCCTCCCTTCTTTCCTCTGCAACCTATATCCTTCCTTCTCTCTACTCTGAGGTTCTCTCCTGCCACTCCGACCTCCTCGCCCAGCTTTCTTCCCTCCATCACGCCAATCACGCCCTCTCCACCGTCCGATCTTTTGTTGCTGCCCTCCAGTCCTCCCTTCGCCACACCCGATCCGAGCTCTCCGACCCCCTTGCCTCCATCCGCACCCTCACCATCCAGCTCCAAATTCTCCATGCCTCATTCGATGTTTTCCACCACCTCTTAGTCCAAGCGACCTACCCCAATGGTTTCCCTAGCAGTAGCCCCTATAGAAACCTAGAAACAACTACAAGAATCCCACTGTGCAACCACCTTACCCACAGGCCCTAGCCACCCACTGTCAACCTCATCCCATGCCCTAGACCTGCGGCAGCAAGCTTCAATTCCTTTGTAGAGTCCGCAGCTTCAATTTGCAGAAGCTCTTCCCATCACCGACCTCACTCTCTCTGCAAACTTCAACCCAAAATCACAGCAAGTTTCAAGCAATAAGATATAATTTCAGATCAAGGATGAAGGCGACAAGGTCTCCGGCGAATGGAGAAAATTGCTTGGACGACGGTGGGGATGGGTCTTCCTTTCTCCATGTTTGTGTGGTTAGGAATGGAATTTATGAAAGAGAATTGGAGATGAAATTGGGGTGGAGAGGACAGAGAATGGGATGGGAGTGGATCAACGGGGAAATGGATGTGGTTTGGACACGAGGCCTGGGAAGAAGCAAGGAAGCAAGTAAGCAAGGCCTAAAAATCGACCGCAAATCTAGAGAGACGGGGCTGTCAAATCTGCAAGGAAAGTGATGAACAGTGGGGCAATATGGACGTAGGGGAAGGTAATGGTTGCATACAGAGAAACGGGATCGTCGAAGAGGATGAAGGTTGAGTGGGTGGAGTCGAAGAGGTAGGGGGAATGATGGATGTGCAGACGTTGGGGTAGGTGCAGAGGAAAGAAGGGATGAAGAAGGGAGGGGGTCAGGGAGGGGAAGACAAAAGGGTTTTGGTTTTTTTTTTTTTTTAATGACACGTGGTGCCCAATCATTGTCCACATGGGCACCACCTTATCAGTTAATGACAGACTTAACAGTTTGACTAACGGATGTATGAGATTGTCCCAAAATTAACACTTTAGGTATGACTTTGGGACGAAAAAATACTTGATGTACCAAATGTTGAAAACCACAAAACTTGAGGGTAATAAACTGAGATTTACCCTAATATATATATATTGAATTTTTGTTTCGAAATGGTTTTAGAAATGATGAAAACATTTGGGTAGGATACCAAACGGGCCCCAAGACACGGGGGCTAAAACAAGTAGATTTGCAGAGGAATTTAAGTGGTAACATGAGAATTGATTAAATTTTTGATTAGAAATGTATGTTACTTCAAGAAACTAGTTGTTATAATTGTTTACTCTCTGGTGTCTCAGATGTAAATTCATAGCTGATGGAAGGACATAAACGTTGATCTCATAACTTAGTTATGGCTTGTATGCAGGTACTTGATTCCACAGAGAAGGCTGTTGAAAGTAGCTTGGCAAGCACTGGCCATGCCACCACACGGGCGACAGATATATACTCAAAGACGTCCAAAACTACTTGTTTCACATGGCTTCTGATGTTTGTAATGACATGCGTATTCATCATGCTGGTTCTTTGAATTCGCGTCACTTAAGGGTATGTTGTGTTAGGAAGACTGATCTTTCGTCCCATAATTTCTACGTATAATTTGCAACTTTGAACATCGACAGTTTACGAATAGATATAATCTCGAAGCATAGCATTGTTGATGGATCATCAGAAATGAACAGGGAATGGATTGAAATGTTAATGATACTACGACGCTAGTCACCGGAACATTTCAAAGGACTGCACTGCAACTTTCATTGGTGAAGGTCCTGCTACATATTGTAATTAGAATTAGCAGATGTTAACGTACTAGTTTCTACTCTCCAAAGGGTTGTACACCATGTAAACAAGCAAAGAACCATGTTAGAAACGTCTCACATGAACCTAATTTTAACATGATATCACACCAGTTATTCCTGCGTTAGTTGACCTGTTTGCGTTGTGTTTTTTGGATCATTGATGCAAATTGGACATTGCAAGAGCGGATATCTCATTCCTCTTCCCCTATCTATCTTAAGGCCTAATTTGGTATTGCTGTGCATTTTTATAAAAACTACTTCTGTTGTGTTATGGTATTTAATGCGATAAATTATTATAAAAAAGAATAATGTGGGGTTAAAAATTGTAATTTGGTAAAATATGTGGGGAGTATGCTTGCTATTTGAAAATTTTAATAAGTGTGCAATGATTACTATGCTTTGAAAGAAAAAAAAAAAAAGAACTTTAGAAACATGGTAGATCCTACTTAATGCTACTTTTCTATGCTTTTCTATTCTCATTGACATCATTTTTAAGAAAAAAACGCCTTTTTTTATTTTACTAAATAAATTTGATGTTCTAGGTTTTTTTAATAAGCTCTATTTTTAAAAACACCACAATTGCAAGCCAGCTCTAAGAAAAGGCACTTAGCTTATTCATGTCTAAGTAAGGAGAAAGTTGCATGCGTTATGACAATGAGGTTTACAATTTGAGCCTACTTTTCCAACTTAATCAGTTCTGCATATTAACAAAGTTACATTTGTTTTGACCTATATGAACAAGTAAGCGCATAAAGACATATGTTCAGCTACTAATTTATCGTGACTTCAAATTAAAAAAAAATAATAATAAAAAAACAAATAAAAGCCAGGTTTATATCAGAACATTTTACAGGGCACGAAGCTTGCAGATCAACTTTTGGAACACGGTGATAGCAACGCCCGCCATTCTCTTCTCTATATAAACTGTGAAGCAGTCTACCATTTGGGTATAACCTTCTCTCCCATCCATTTACTTCATCAAATCCCAGTAGCTTCCGTTACTAGCTATACACCATGGAGTACATCAACCAGTACTACTGCAAATGTATTATTTTGGCTTTGATCTTCATGCTGGGAGCCTTGTCTTCTCAAGCCACTTCTCGCACTCTCCAAGATGCATCAATGTACGGGAGGTACGAGCAATGGATGGCTCGTTATGGACGTGTATATTCTGACATTAACGAGAAGGAGAAGCGCTTCAATATTTTCAAGGAAAATGTTGCGTTCATAGAATCTTCCAACAATGATGCAAACAAACTTTACAAATTGAGCGTCAATCAATTTGCAGACCTTACGAATGAAGAATTCAAAGCCTCGAGAAATAGATTCATGGGGCACGAATGTTCCGCAAAGACGACTTCTTTCAAATATGAAAATGTTACTGCACCACCAACTGTAGATTGGAGAAAGAAAGGAGCTGTGACACCTGTCAAGGACCAAGGCCAATGTGGTAATCAATTTTATTTATAACTTGGAACTTCATTAAACGGTTTCTAGTACTCTAACTATGATTTACTTGCAATATTATACAAATCTATGTCTATTAAATTAACCACTACTTAATTTATGCCAAAAAAAAAAAAAAAACAAAAAAAAAACACAATATCTTACTGCAACAAAATACTTGCAGGATGTTGTTGGGCTTTTTCAGCGGTGGCAGCCATGGAAGGAATTACTAAGCTTACAACTGGTAAATTGATATCTTTGTCTGAGCAAGAGTTGGTTGACTGTGACACAAGCGGTGTAGATCAAGGTTGTGAGGGTGGTTTGATGGATGATGCATTTCAATTCATTAATCAAAACCATGGGCTTAGTACCGAGACTAATTATCCTTACACTGGTGTTGATGGTACTTGCAACACCAAGAAGGAGGCCAACCATGCAGCCAAAATAACTGGTCATGAAGATGTGCCTGCAAACAGTGAAGAAGCCCTTCTGAAGGCTGTTGCAAATCAGCCAATTTCTGTTGCCATTGATGCTGGAGGTTCCGATTTTCAATTCTATTCAAGTGGTGTCTTTACAGGAACTTGTGGCACGAGTCTTGATCATGGGGTTACCGCTGTTGGTTATGGAGTCAGTGCTGATGGGACTAAGTATTGGTTGGTTAAGAACTCATGGGGCACTGAATGGGGTGAAGAAGGATACATAAGAATGCAGAGAGGTATTGAGGCAAAGGAAGGTCTTTGTGGCATTGCTATGGAAGCCTCTTACCCCACTGCATAACTTGAATTACCATCCAAATCAATGCCTACAATATCTAATACCCTGGACGTGTATATCGTAATATGTACATGATGAACTTGTACGTTTAGTACAATATGCTATATGGTCTGCGCATCGGTAGTACCAAGTTTATAATTACAAATGAAGAACTTATTCGATCTTTTAGTTGAATTGTCTAGTTACGCTAAATTTAACCACTTGCTAAAATTAGGTTTATGTGTTAATTCTCTGATATGATTCATCCCCTCGAAGGAGGTACATATATAGTCAACAAGCCTTCTAGAGCAAGAATAATAATAACTCCTAATTCTAATTACAGTAGGAAACGAAACCTAAATAGGAAATGTAACCCACTAATTAGTAATTACAATTAATCCTACAAGTCAAGCTGCACTAAAGTGAAAAGTCTTAGGTTCAATTCTCACCACACACTATTGCTAACTCATTGTGAGGCTTAGCCCACTCCCCCATCTCTTAGTGTCGATAATATCGTTTGTTTAAAAATAAAAATAAAAAAATTGGTGCATATATGTTGTTGATGCCCGACCTGCTAAATGGGTTGTAAAATGCGTTGCTCAAAATTGCTTTTATTAGCATATCGGCTAATTGGTTCTTCAACTTCACAAACAAAAATTGAACAATCAGACCTTCCAATTTCTCTTTGATGAAATATTTATCCACCTCAACATGTTTGTTGCGATCATGTTAAACTAGATTATGAGCAATTTCAATTGCAGTTTTATTGTCACAACATATATTCATATGAATTCAATTCCCAATTTAATTCCTATTATTGAGGGACATATACTAATTTTATAATATTTTCAACTACAGATCGGGATACAAACCAAAGGTCTTGAGCGACCGATCCGGCAAAACAACTCAAAAGATAAAGAAGTATAATTAATTTCTTCATGCTCGTTCCAAGTTCAAAGTACCATTAGTGCAAATGAGAATCTCCTTTGTTACATGATTTCTTCTTTATATAGATAGATGTTGGATCTATGGAGCAATTACTTAAAAGTAGATTTTGTACAACAATCCTTCCTATCTCATAGAAAAGGATGCCATGATTCTGAACCAATCTAACATGGAATCGCAAATCCTAAGTTTGTCCATGAAGAGCATATCAAATTATATTAGTGTCTATAATTGATTTCTTCTGTGTAATACTAATCGATGGGGCCTCATTGGTAAGTGCTACCAGATCTCGCACATATATTAACTCATATATCATTTTTTGTCATTTCAATTGTAATTACAATTTATTAGGAGATGAAATCATAAGAGTAGATGATTCGTCAAAAAATTGGATGATAGCTACATTTTTTGTGCATGACAAGATTATTAGTTACTCGTTGGGAACAACAGCAAATAGTAATTTTTTGGCATGCATATTCGTGGAAGTAAATCTCATTATAAAATCTTATCTTTATCCTTACAGAAATTGAACGGGAATGAATTTTGAATCGGATGGCTCGCCCAACGGGAAAGGCCTTGACCCTGCCAACTAAAAGAAGAAAGAAAAGAACAGAAGGAGAAAGCAACTTCTTTGTAATTCTCTAGGAGTCATACTTAAATTTGAATACTATCAATAAATTTTACATCAATAGTCCCGCGATGATTCAGTAGCAGTGGCTGGCAAAGTTGATTTCTTACCTATTATATTAGGACCTGCAGATTTTTTGGTGCATCACATTCATGCATTTACAATTCATGTGACGGTATTAATACTCTTGAGAGGTGTTTTATTTGCTCATAGTTTGCATTTGATATCAGATAAAGAAAATCTTTAAAATGAAAAGAAAATGAAAATATGCTACATTGACCTATCATTTGTTCAATTTGGTCGATCTGATACTTAGTTAATTCTTTTATGTTTATGTTCCCACTGATACCTAATAAATAACAAATCTTAATGGCTTTTTAGGTCCAATTCCATCAATTTTTGTTGATTCAATTCTTACATGTTCATCGGCAAAGCGTAAAGTAACCAAATTTCCTCTAACAAGGGTAAACTAACTATATGGGGGTCTTCTGTTAGTGATATTATCTGCTCAATCAGTTAATTTTTTTTATGCCCATAAAGCTAATTAAGTTTTGTTGATGTACAAAATCAGCGAGACTTTGAAACTATTTAAAGTGTTAAAGTTTGTGACATTCTCACGGTTTCTCCATCACCTAGTAAGGATAATATGTAAAGAGATAGAGATAAAAAAGTAAACACAAGATGTACGTGGCTCACCCTAAGTTGGGCTATGTCCATGAGGGTATAGGAGTTCTCATTAATAATGAAGAGTTTACGCAATACATAGGTTCAAGCATAATCATCATTAGTGAGTTCTAATGACGAGTTTAAGTACAATAATGGCATTAGGGATTAATTGAGGAGAATGGTTTCCTTTTATAGTTGAGAAGAGTCTCCGGCTTTCATCTGTGGTCGATGTAAGATTCTAGAAGGTTTATTCTGATGTCGCCCCACGTGTCGCATTGTGATTGGCATCCTAGTTTAGGAGAAACTCTTGTGCTTCGGCATGGGTTCCTTAGCACAAATTCTTCAGTGGGTCCTTCAAGGTATGAAGTTGATCGATACTCAGTAGTTTTCAGATTGGTGAAATATGGTACAAACAAGTTTAAAGAGAGGTGGTCATCTTGAGCGTAATTAGAGGTGGATTGTCATTTAGTATTGCGGTATAGTGTTATTCCTCTTCACATGTAAGTGAAAGGTCTTAGGTTTGATTCTCGTTAAAATCGAATTTGAATCACATTATTGCTAGCCCATTGTGAGGTTAAATCCGCCATTCATTTTGCCTTAGTGTAGATAATATTGTTTGTTTCTAAAAAAAAAAAAAAAAAACAAAAAAAGTAGAGGTGGATCAATTTGACTGGAAGCATTAGGTGGCGTGACTTGTAGAATTAATTGTAATTATTGTCATTGATGGGTTATGTTTTCTATGGACATGGAATATCACTAACATCCGATCCATATATCTGTTATTTTAAAGTTGTGTAGGGATTTGCTTACATGATGAAGTAAGAAGTGAAAGGTGGCCGGTCTACTTAGTGCATAAGCTAAGTATAGAGGAATTAGTAATGTTATTCATACTATGTTTTTAGATCACATTTTTATACCATCTTAGGTAGCATCTGATGTGGACAGCCACATCATTTGAAAAATTTGCAAAACCCAAGGAAAGGAAGGAGAAAGACTCCTTGTATATCACAATCATCATTTAATTAATTAGTTTTTCTTAATTATTAGTTTATTAAATAATGAACTAAATTTACAAATCTAATTAATTCAAATGATGTGGCTATCCACATCAAATGCCACCTAAAATGGTATTAAAATATTGTACAAAAACATGGTATGTTAACTTCTTCGGTTTAGAGGCTGCTTTGGTTACAGAATTTAGATTTCCTTCTAAGTTTGTGATGAATCTATAATTTGCTAAAAGATCTACAACTGACATTTTGAGTAAAGCAATTTACAACTTATTTGGCAAGTCGAGCATTAGCAACACACATGCACCAATTTGAGGGACATTGTTAGCATAAGCTAACTTGTAGGATGTTGATTCATTGTTATTATTGTTAGAGATATATGATTTCTATTTTAATTTTTTTTCCTATTATAATTAGAAGTAGAAGATGGAACACAAACACATTTTGCTAAGCAAACCCTAATATCTCTCTAGGTTTGAAACTACTTCTTTAAAAAGACTTTTCGCTCTAAACTACTTTCAGTAAAAACATTATTAGAAGCACATTAATTTTTTTTAATAATACGCAAGTACTCTCTGAAAATGCACTTGAACTGTTTTCTGAAAGAAGCGTCCTAAAATAGGCACACAACAGGTGCTTCTTCTAGGAAGTACTTCGCATGTTTTTTTTTAATCTAGAAAGACTTCAAACCTTTTCTGCCAAACATGGTCAATATTGTACACTATGGCCTCGTTTGGCAGCTTGGACTGTACTGACTATTTATGTTGGATATGATAAATAGCCACCGGAAAGTACTGACTAAATTAGTCGGGCGTTTGGTGCAGTATCGGACTAATGATCGTCTTATTTATACTGTGTTTGGTATTATACCGAATAGGAGGAATTAAACTTAAAAAAAAAATTCAAAAAATAAAAAATAAAAAACTGAAATCATCTCTTTTGTTCCCAATCTCTCCGCCGCACCCCCCTTCCCTCCCTCTCTATCCCTTCTTCTTCTTCCCCGTTTGCTCCCCTAAACTAAACCTCACCACAAAGGCAGCAACACGAAACCCAGCAAAACCCACCTTTCAGCCCAGCAAAAGTAGAAAGGTTATGAAGGATATGACCCAAAGGAGGGAGATGTGTTCTTTAGCAATTAAAAATTTATAAAATTAATTGCAAAAATTTGAGAGAAAAACAACAATTAGATTCAATCTGATTGAAAAAAAAAAAGTTGGAAGAAAAATAGGAGGGCAGAACAGTGAGAGAAGAAGAAAAATTGCAAGAAAAATAGGAGGAGGGCATAACAAGGAGGAGGAAGAAGAATCTCAGATTTAGAAGTGGAGGAAGAACCTTGGATTCAGAGGAGAGAGCAAGTGATGTGAGAGGAGTAGAGCGAGCGGGTTTGCGGTGATCAGAGAAGGAGGAGGAGGAGAAGTTGCAGGAGGGTTGAACGGAGGAGGAGGAGGAGGAGGAGAAGTTGCAAGAGGGCGGAACAGAGAAGGAGGAGGAGGAGAAGAACCTGGGATTCAGATTAGAGAGCAAGCGATGCGGGATGGAGAGAGCGAGAGAGGTGTGTTCTACCCGACTAAATAATACCGAGGTTTTGGGCGGGATAACTAAGCGGGTATCAGCTGGATAAAGAAGGTGGGGTCGGATTATTTAATCCGGTGGTTATTTAATCCAAAGAGATACCAAACACTGTACTTCGTATTATTAGTACTATCCGGTGCCTTTTCCGGTGTGCCAAACAGAGCCTATATATTTGTTTCTAGGATTGTAAGTTGCTTGAAATAATTCGAGCTTGCACTGAGTTCGGCTCGTTGAAGCTCGGCTTGTGCAAGAACCAAGCAAAGCCTAATTACTTCGACTCGATTAAAAAACAAACCAAGCTTGAGCAGA